TATACCTAAATCTTGTCAGCTGTCATAAGAAACCTCCTGTAAACGGTTATGTATCAATGATCGATATCAATGAAATAAAATATAATTAAAAGAAGAATAAACGTTGGCATAAGAAAAAATGTGGTTCATTTTTTGCCACCATCTCTTGGCCGATAAACCCACAGAGCTAAATAGGCATAATTTACTAATTACCATCACGGTAACTTTATAAACCGCAACTTTATTTATTCCATTCAGTAAAAATATTTAAAAAGGAACATAGGTGAAAGTAAAATCAAAGAAAACGGGTTGACAGCGCACAAACGCATGGCGCAAAGCCACATGACACTGACGCATTCACACATTTATCATGTTATGAGTTTAGTGTATGATGGCACAATTGAGCTGACACGCTCTATTGACTCGATAAGCTGTATTGGTATTGTGCCAACACCTGAAAAATCAGTGTTACCCATACCTACCTGAACACGCAGAATCAGATGTCGTTTATTTGTTTTTGGTGGAATCGTGCCTAATATTCGGTTTCAGAATGTTAAAACTACGGTTTAATTTAATAATTTATTTATTGCAATAATGACAAGACTTTAACTAAAAATATATTTTTTTTAAGTTATGGTTGCTATACAGGGTGGACCGCCGAAAAGTATCCGGAATGGTTTACAGTCTAATAAATTTTAAAATGCGCCATTCCCATGATCTCGATTTTTTCCTCCAATCCTACACCTTCACTTAGATGTCCGTGAAGTTTGTGGGCAGTATTTCGTTCAATCGGGATTTTTAAGTGGTTTATTAGGGGTCCAACAGTGTCTAAATTAAATCGCTAATCGTTTTTTAATGTTTGCGGAAATCACAAACATTCATTCTTACTTTTCGGTAGGCCACCCTTTATATATTTAATCTATCTTCGGGGATAAACGGGCAGAATTGGCTCTTAACTCTTTCTTAAACAGGAACATAACATACAAAACAAAGAATATACACTAAAAATTAAACAAACAAACATTCGGTAACTAATAATTACATATTATTCAAACCTTAACAATGTAACTAAATTAACAATATTTGATTTAATTAAAAAAGCACCTTTGGTATAAAAAGTACATTTAACCAGTTGTTGAATCAGTTCTTTTAGGTTGAATTCAAATTTCACTTAACGAGCAACTCTTAGTCGAAATGAACTTAATCACAATAATCGTCTAATTGTGGGGAACATTAGCAGCACTTTTCAGGGGAATTTTTGAAATTTTGTATGGTTGACTAAAAAATATACACCAAATATTTTGATTAAAAGAGCTTAAAACAAGATAGAATGCTTTGATATTTTATAGTTCGGGAAACTGCCTTTGGTGAGCACAGCCCCTCCCTGCAAACATTTTCAAAGGCATAACTTTTCGCTATTTAGATTTTTGTTACCGAGGTCGATTTTGGTTTGAAAAGCAAGCATAAGCTGATTTATTACATATGGATTGAGAAAAACGTCCGTGACTCATGCATATGTTCAGTAAAATATTAGGAAGTCGGGTAACATATTGCAAAAGCAGTTCATTTTCGAACTGATCTTCAAAAATTCCCTTCAATAGCCCTTTTCATAAAATGTACAAGAGTGGTAGACAAGCAAACATCTTAAAGTTGGTGCAAGCCACACAATAACCATCGCTTACTGGTTCCGTAAGTTTTTCGCGTTTAAAGGAAAACAGGTAGTGGACCCTATCTGCCCTTTTTTTTACGCTCCTTAGCCATTTTGCGACGTTTAACTATCATCTCGTACAACACTTCTAGCCCTTCGTGCAGACCGTCTCCGGTTATTGCACATGCGGGTTGTACATGCCACAGATGAACACCAAGAGTACCATTGCCCAGCTCTGAAAAACGAAATATATGGAATTCTGCTGACGTCGAAATTTATATTTATCTAATCGAAAGTTCTAAAGAGCAAACCCCACATCTTTACAGTTTCAAGCAGTTAATTTGCCTTAAACTGATACCGAAAATTATTTCTGCGATTGATTTTCGATTTATGGGGCAGCCAAATTGCAATTTAAAGATAACTTCAAACTCAAACAATTTCCAACTTATCTTTAAATCGACTTTGATCCGGAGCTGAGAAAGTTTCAAAATTACCTTCAAATTTCCTTTTATTGAGATTTTTCTTGAGTTAATGCCACTGGGGCTGGTTTAAAGACACTTTTGTCAAACGATAGTTTAAAGATTAGCTTGACTTGAAAATTGAACACTCAACAAGCAACTAATGCTTGTTCATTCATGTTCAATATACAAGCAACTAATGCATTCTAAGTATCTTTAATTCAACTTTGTATATTCTAATTTAAATTAAATTAAAGATAATTTCGATGAAAAAATCAACTCAACCCGAAACTCAACTAGTGGTAAAAATCAAATTATCTTTGCATTTCCGGAAAAATGATCTACTTTCAACTGAGCTAATGTGAAAATTTTTAGAGCAAACCGAAAAAGTCTGGGCAAAGTTTGCAAAAGTTCAAAGATTTACACTAGTTCAACAAAAATTTTAGTCATCAGGTTTTCGAAATACATAAATAATTGTGGAAAATTTTCCTCCAGTGTTCAGTTAGGACGTGACTGATTGAAACTGTCCCTAATTTATCTCTAAATTTTACGAAAATCATAGTAGGATTTAAAGATAAGGGGTTTTATTGCTTATTTCTGGACTTTTGTGCTTTCAAGCGCTTTTTGTCGATTTGCTTCTTGAAACTCTTCTCAAATTAAATATTATTTACTTACACGTAGATGATGAGTTTATCTTTAAATCCGCCTTTGAATGACCAAAGCTGGACTAAGAACAGTGCAAAAATAGAGGCGATTATCTTTAAATTATTCGCTGATTTAAAGACACCAACGTCAAATTTATATAGTTTGAACTGGAGTCGGAAATTACTTTTTAATTGTAAAAGCGGCCACACAGTTATCTCTAAATTACCTCTTTAATTTCTTCTGATTTTATTGTTTTTTTTCCAAAATTTACCCTTTGCACTTCGAAACTTTAATTATACATTCGGTACAACGCATTTCAACTAGTCGTAAGTGAATTCAAATATTTTGTTTTTCGATTTATTTTTATGGACAGTTTTATTTTTTAATTGCTTTTCCTTGTTCGGTGTTACGTTCAGTTTACTGGTTTGTCGGTCAAAACTGGAGCTTCTATCAGCGTCCCTCCGTGGTTTTGACTAAATAAAGCGACATTCAATTTAGGTTATGTTTTTGAATGTTAGCCGCAAAACTTCCAAACTTGCAGGTATGTATTTTGTTGCTCTGGAAGCTAATTCTCTTTGTAATTTCAGACAGAATGATATATTCCTTAACAGCATAGTATAATATAAGGCGCAGCATTTTCCTTTCTGTTGCACTGTGACAGTTAACTGTTTATGCAATCGCCGCCAATTTTTTTCTTCTCAATAATCCTGGCGCTTAACACTTAACCTCACTTTCAAGGACGCATGTCCGGAATTGCGAGAACAGGCATTTCCTGTATTGCGCTCGCCATCCTGGTTTTGTTTGCCGTGCGCAGCAAATTCAAATCTTACTTTCAAGGTAGGCGGCTTTGTGTCACTGTCGTTTTTAAATTGCGAACTTTTACGAAGGCTCGGGGACAATAACAAATTTTGGTTTTCAGGTTACAGTGGTCGATCACATGTGGGAAGACGCGCCCTCGTGCGCCGAAGCCGAGCGAATCGAGCCGATTTTGATCGATCTGTATTCATGATGATTTTGATCGATGGTACAGACTGTAAATACCAATATATAAAAAGCCTAGTGAAAAAGTTTTTTTTCTGGATATTTTAACTCTTCCAGAGTTGCGTTACTATTACAACAGCTAATTTGCTGATGACAGGAGTGTTATTTCAAACTCTTTCAAAATCTTGAAACTGTCTAGAAAAGAGAAATTAAATGAACTGGTTAGCCTTCACCCACCAGTAAGCCCCAGTAATTTTTCTAATTCTCTGGGTTCTCGAGCACCTGGCAGGTCCTGTTTGTTAGCTAAGACTAAAATCGGTACGTGGACATTTTCTGGCGATTTGACAGTCCGCACCAATTCCATTTTTGCTTCCTCCATGCGCTCGAGGTCGACGGAGTCCAAAACAAACACTATGCCGTCCGTACAGCGGGTGTACGACTTCCATAAGGGACGGAGCTTTTCTTGCCCCCCGACGTCCCATACTAGAAAGTTGACACCTGGAACCAAAAATAAATGATCAGCAGCTGTTTACAAGTTTATACCAAATTTGTATTGATGTAACATGTGGGGGATTACCGATTCAATAAATATTTATATCTTAGTAAGTTTAAAAGCGAAAATTCAAAACAAAACGGTTTAAAAGTAGTACTCCGGGACGATTTCAACCATCCTCAGTTGGCTTTAAGTGTTTGATAACTGTCAAACTACACCCGTGAAACATTCCGCTGATACGTTACTGATTGCCGTTTGCATAGTTTTCATCCTAAGTGAAGAATTACTATAGAAATATTAATTTATTTTTTAAGTCTTTTCAAATTTTGTAAAAAAATTTCAGAAAAATGAATTTCTCACTGCATTTTGTGACATGTTGGTAGGTTCTTGTTTGCTTCAAAATGGTCATTATAATAAAAGTAGTTTTTCAACCAGTCAACAAGATCATTTTCGCTCGAAAAACTTATCAAAATGCAAAACTCTTGTATAGAAAATAGATTAAACTTAAAGAAAGAAGTTGACCCTCTAGAATATCACCATAATATTCCATAATCAGTGTTGACAAAGAAAAGTGAATTGACATAATATTATTATGCCTTAAACCTTCAAAGCCAAACAGCTTCGAATAATGTGTCGCAGTAAAGTTCACGAAGTAAAAACGCGAAAAAAAAATCCTGATCAGTTACCGAAACACCGAAAATGTGAGACTCGGGAACAAAGGCACCTACCTTACCGACTGCATTCGGTAGGGGACGCCACTTTGGCATGATATGAACGATAACTTAGACACTTCTGCATCGATAGCTTGCACGAATTTCGAGTTTTGAATTGCATTGCTAAATAGCTGTTTTCAATGTTATGTAGTCTCACTCATAAACGTAAATGTTTCTTGTTAACATCGTGTACTTTAATAGTTACAAAATGAAGAAGTGTCTGTCATCTACCTATATCTCGTCATAAATTCATAGAAACCTTTTTGTTGAAAATATATGGAAGTATAAAGAAGTATTAGCCAATTCTTTGTCATATCATTTCATAGTATATCGCAAAGTTGGCTTCATTTTAAAATTTATGTGGAAATAAATTCAATTTCTAGAATTCATTGAAGTAGGTGAGCAACATATTCCCCATTTTCTTAAATAATTAAATAGTCTAGAGTCCTTTTTGTTTCTCTGTTGCAGCTAAACTGATTCCTTGATTTTTTCTATTTCTGTGGTTTTTTTTCTATTTTGCTATTCTTTTTTAACTGTAATGTCCTGAAGCGGAGCGTTTTTTGTTAACTGATTCCTGCACTCAACTAATAGAAAATGTTAATGGTTTTCACACACAATCTTACCTTTAGCTTTTCCGATTGTGCCTTTGACTTTCTCGCAATTGAATCCTATTGTAGGGACCGTATTCAGATATTGGTCAAATTTTAACCGATAGAGGGCCGTAGTTTTGCCGGCTGAGTCCAGTCCTAACATCACCACGTGCAAGGTGCCTACAAAAGATTTAATAGCATTAATTTTCCTGTTTAGAAAAATGCGAAAAATGTTCACGTTCAGATAATGAGTTTTCTGATTACAGGATCAGAAAACGCCAACGCTGACACTAAGCTTGGGCTTTTGACTTAATTGCTAGTTTTTATTATACAGGGTCGCTTTATGTACGGAAACGGTGGATTATTTTCTAAAGTACGAGAGCGAGAACAAAATGATTAATACTAAAATGCAAAGGTCCTTTACAGTCTAATTAGATACGGGAAAACTTTGTAGACAGGATCAGTCAAAAAGCTACGGCAAAGCGAAGTAAGTCCCTTTTTTAAATGCAACTTTCTCAGTTTTGTGACTAATTATATATTGCAATTTTTCAATAATTTCTGACCTATTTTTGTAAACTGCCTTTTTAAAATGACCCCACAGAAAAAGTCAATTGGGGTCAAATCGGGAGACCGAGCAGGCCATTTAATTGTCCCCTGTCACCAATTAATTTCCCAGGAAAGTACTTCGCGTTTAAAATTCCATATCCATCATCGTTAATATTTCAACACGCTCAGTCCCACTTAAACGTTTTAATTTTTGACATTCGTGTCAATTAAAGACTAACTGTTTAGAGCAAAAGAATGACTCGATGTTGTTATAGTGTCCTAAATTTGCTAAGATAACTTGATGAATAGTGTTTTTGTTTGATTTAATAATTTGGCGAATTACATCAAAACATTTTGCCCACGCTGACACTTAACGGAACTAGTTGTTTTTGCTAATCTGTCAAAGGTATCCATAGAAACCGAAATCTGCGATACTTTCGAACGGCTCAACAAACGCAAATAAAATTGAAACGATTAGCGATGGGTATAAGACATGCTATATCAAAGCTGCTACAAACTTCCGACAGGATGGAAAAATGACATAAAATTAGTAGATTTCCTTTTAAAAACTCGAAACTGTGACGTAGTATATTGTTTATGAAACACCCTCTATAATGCAATGATAGTCAGAAAGATGTCCGTCCGAAAGATGTGTTACCGTGTTTAAGCGTTTTTTCGCGAAATCCACCAGGAGAATCATAAATAGGGGTGCCACCTTTTCGTTGGCCCGCCCTGTATATTGCTCCCACCGAAAAATGCAAAATGTGTAAAATCAGCTATACTTACAGCTACTAAGCATATCAATAACTTTCCTCAGGTAGAGACTAGAGCTCTTGGTGATTTATAATATACATGGTGTCCATACATTTAAACAAAGCGAAAACAACATAAAACATTATTTAAAAAATGTCCCTGAAACTCGGTTTTTATTACATCACTTTCAAAGCACTTGATATAAATTGATGAATTATTAAAACGATCTAAACTCGGTAAAGAGTTCTTACAACAGTGCTGATAAATCCCATTTTCCCTTTTCGAGTTCACCCCGAACCGACCAGCTTGTACACATTGCTGATGTTTAACGCCCTGTATGATACACACAAGAAATCTATATTGTATAGCTAAAAGCTGAACCGGATCTAGTTCTACGATCGGTGATCTCTGGACTTTTTCGCGTAAGTTTTAAGTTTTTCGGATAGTAGATTGAAGGGTGAGTCTGAGAAACATATTAAGTGCACCCCCGCTTGCTGCTTGATTGCTTTTTAACGCCTGCTTTGTTATTGCTTGGATTGGTTGCACTACATAACCTATTTTGATTGCACTAGCAAATGGGGGAGGACACAGGGGGGTCTGCGGACCCCCCCAGTGTTACACCTGCTAGCCACCCAGACTGATCTGTAAATATGGTTATAAAGATGCTGCTCCTTATTTGGTTATAGTTCAGGCTAAGGATTCAAATGTTAATGTAGGTAATTTACACCCCATGGCSATTGGTGGTATGTTAAGGCTACGCAATATCGCAGGAGTAGAAAAGACTATTCGAAAAGGAAAAAATCGTGTAGGAGTATATCTCAAAACCCCTACGAGCGGAAATTTCTTCCYGGAACACAAAGAGTTGGAAACTAGAGGTCTTGAAGCCTATATTACTGCCAGTCTGGTGTCATGTRRGGGCATTGCGAGGGGCATTGACTCGGCGTCACTAGGGATGATATTATCAAACTGCCTACCAACTCTTTAGGAATTAAAATACAAAGAAAGTACAAAGAAGACCTTTGCGATCAAATAATTAAGTGTGTACACTGCAGTCGGGCTCACAAGGCGACCGATAGACAATGCCCAGAGTATGAACGCCAAAGAGAGATCAAACGCATTATGGTCACCGAGGCACTGTCATATTATGATGCCAAGGGGTGTAAGGGGCGAAGGTCTAATAAGATCAGCTCAAATGTCAACCTCACCTGGTCGTGCGATGACCAACATCATTCGGTGCACCCTGCTCGATAACCGACGAGGCTCTGACGACCGAATTATCGCTGGAATAAGCGATCCACCACCAACTGTCAACGGCTAGGGACGGTAGTAAGGGCATCCTTTTGTCCTGAGGCTGAGAAATCGACCTCAAAGGCGGAGGATCTGCAGAAGAATAGTCAACGGCATAAGGATATGGAAAGCCACGGGATGACTACCATATTAAAGATCCTTAAGGATATCCCCGGGACAATGTCCTGTAACTCTTCGTTATCATGTCAGGAAACTTAAACAATACGGCCCTCAATCCCGGGCAGATGTTCGATCATCAGAGAGTGCTAAGAATCCCCCGGCTCGACATGAGAAAGACAAAACTACGCTTTGGGACATAGAATACCAGAACACTTTTTGCGGCAGGTAAACTTGATAACGCCGTAAAGGAAATGCTCAGACTCAATGTCAATATCCTTGGAATTAGTGAAACCAGATGGCCAGATAGTGGCGTGTGCATGAGGAATGGGATGACATTTTATTATTCAGGGAACAGTGATCCGAACCATAGAAACGGTGTGGGATTTATCGTGAGAAATAATATTAGGAAGTCCATCCGAAATGTTATCGGATATTCGGACAGAATCATTCTAGTGCAAATGAATGCTAGTCCAATAAATATAAATCTTATTCAGATATACGCACCTACAGCAGATAAACAAGGTAGACAGGTAGAGGAATTCTACGGACAGATACAGGAGGTGCTCCGATCTTTGAAACCCCATGAAATCACTATAATCCTCGGCGACTTTAATGCTAAGGTTGGAAAACGCAGAGTTGATGATGTGGCAGGCGCCTTCGGCCTAGGCGAAAGAAACGAACGTGGGGAACTCCTCCTACAATTCTGTAGAGAGGAGAATATGGTCATAACCAACACATTTTATAAACTTCACTCCCGGAGGCTATACACGTGTAAATCTCCCCAAGATAGCAATAACAACTTCGTACGTAACCAAATAGATTATA